ACACTTTCATTGAGACAGAGATATGGCTTGCTGTCATTTAAAAATATACGTATTAATTTATGTGAGGTGCAGGCAGACACTGACTCTTGCAATCCTAGTTTATGGAAGAAAAAAGGGAACACCTGGGCTCCAACCAGGCAAAAAAGCCTGTTCTCAATGTCTCAGACATCTCAACAGGTCAGTTCCCGAGTTTCACAGAGATCCTATTGAAAGCCATTTGAGTAGTTCTGGTCTTGTGTCATCCAGACAGCACATTTTCAAACTCAGAAATGCCAGATCGTGTTATTTCTGTGGCAAGGGGTTGCTTAGGATCTGTGACAGCTGAGTTTTTCCTATCGATTATGTGACAATGCAGTTCATTTATAGAGTTCAGAGAAATGAGAAAAGCCTCCATTTTAACAAGAAGACCCTTAATTCAAGTGCTGTGTTGTATTTAAATGCAGAAATAAAAATCCAAGTTGGAGAAAGGGAAAGAGTGAATTAAATGTTGAGCCCAAACTTGTGTGGAAAACTGTGACAATTTAATTTGAAGTCTTATGATTGAGTAATGAGATTTATAAACCATATGAGAAATCAAATCTTACTAGTAAATCATATTTAGATTAAGGCATGTATTTAAAATTGTTCCTAAATTTAAAACAGAGTGAAAGGCAAATCAAACAGTACTCTTGGATATGTGTGTTGGGGAGGGGACTTTGTTCTAGCAGCACTAACCTGCAAACACTTTGAAAGTTCTTTTACAGATTTATCCTAAGTTCTTAAACGATGCATCTCTTCTTAAATGCATTTCTAGGTTATATATATATATATATATATATATCTGTATATGTATATATATATATGTCATTTTTATCTTGCATAACAGTCCCTGATAATTGTATTTGTCATAAGATACAAACAGGCATACAAAAAGTCATCAGATGTCCAGTCCATTCCAAGAGCCTAGGATTTCAAACAAAAGAAAGCCTGGGAAACGTGACTGTAAATCAAGGAAATCACAGATACAAGCACACAGAAGAGTTAATTGTGGGAGAAGGAAGAGAGAAGCTCCTCTGTGCGGTCTGAGTAAGACAGAAAGAAACAGGCTAGGGAATGCTAGCAGGCGCGGGTGAGACCGGAGACCATGGTCCTGGAGCTGAACACACTCTCTTGTTGGAGGGGTGGGGCACAAGCAGACACCGTAGCCCCGGCTGTGGCCTGCACTCTGCCCACCCCACCAGCAGGCCTTCTTGCATCTGCTTATTTATTGCCTGAAAGCCATCCAGCGTGTCGGAGGCATGATTATCGACAATTTGTCAGCCTGAATTTGTCGCTGGCAATAACTTTTCGTGAAGTTTCACACTCAGGCATTTGAGTTTGGGGATTAGGAAACTGGTGGTAGGAGAGCATTCTATTGGGGCCTGTTTCTCATTTAGATGTGGGCAGAGGCAGGCTGAAGAAGAAGGACGGGAGCTTTCAACAGAGGGCAGTCACCCCAGTGCACAGGCAGTGTGGATCCAGAGAGCTGGCTCTTTCTACACAACCTCTTCCCCACCCCGCCTCGGGGGCCTCCACAGTCCCAGGGCACAGACTGTCTGTGTGGCATCCCTGAGGGGTGATTATGTGTAAGAAGTGTGGAGGGGAGGCCTTAGTATTCACCAGCTCGCTCCCACATCTCCCCCCACCCCAATACACACACACACACACACACACTAGGGTTTCCACTGCTGCTGGGCTCACAATTCACTTGTGGGCCTGAGACTGAAGACCTTGAAGTCCTGAGTTTGTTTCGTTTTGCTTGCTCTTTGTTTTCTCTCTGTGGTCCCTGGTGCCTCTCAGCTGCCCAGGACCAAGGTCCTCGGAGTTGAAATCTTCACCTTTGTGAGCCCCTGTTGCTTCCCTTCTGCTGCACTGTGGATGGCCAAGAGGCAGGCCTGTCCCCGGGACAGGAGCAGCTGGGGCAGCTGCTCTGGAGCAGCTGCTGTGCCTCTCCCCCCCCCCCCCAGCTTTTCTGACAATCATTAAAATTCAATTTCAAAATTTCTGTCTTTAACAATTCCCTAAGGGGACTATGAAGGATGCCAAAAGAGCGGGCCTCTTTTCACGTGGCCATGTGTTGGCAGCAGGCACACCCTGGTCCTGTTTGCCAGGCTGTACCCCACTGACAGCAGTGCTCTGGACAGTGTCTGGAGTGGAGGACTGTGCCCACCTGATTGAGGGAACAGCTGTGGGACAGGCCAGCACACAGGCCAGGCCACCAGCTCTTCCTGCATTGACATCGCCTGACTGGTCTCTTCCGTGGGAGGGAGGCAGAAAACAGTTCAGGTGCAAATCCGAGAGGAGAACCAAGTATTGCTGCAGAGCTGGTTAAGCTGCCACTCGGTACATCCACCTCCTATATTGGAGAACTGGTTCAAGTCCTGGCTGCTCCACTTCCTATCCAGCTCCCTGCCAACACACCTAGGAAGGCAGCAGATGATGACCCGAATACTTGGGTCCCTGCACCCACAAGGGAGCCCAGATGCAGTTCTGGAAAGGAGAAGGAGAAAGTTCTCATTCTGCAGTCTCACCGTTCCTCTCCTACTTTCTCCTCTGTATATCTGAAAGTTCCCTTCCACCAGGAAACTTTCCTTAACAGCTCCTTTTCCTTTGGGTAGAGACCAAGGAGACACCATTAGTGTGCATCAAGAAACAGAAAAGTACACCCATCTGTGCCACAGAGGCTGCTGAGCCACCCCATCAGGGGCAGCTAAGTGCCACCAAGTGAAAGCTAGAGCTAAAGATCAGCAGCTTTACATGCCCTCACCCCTAATGTGACGAGTGACTGGTACCAGCAAGTAGCATTTATTCAAAATTGAGATGGGAGTTAAGAACTGAGAACTTGATTCTTGCCTTCACCTCTCTATCATGAGTAACTCTTTCTAGACATCAACCTTTTTCCCTAAAACCTCATGGGCCTTCAGCATACCTAATATGTTTTTTCTTCTCCTTGACTTCTTAATTCTTTTTTTAAAAAATATTTATTTATTTATTTTTCAGGCAGAGTGAGGAGGAGAAAAGAGAGAGAGAGAGATCTTCCATCCATTACTTTACTCCCTAAATACCTGTAGCACCCAGGGCTGGGCCAGGCCAGGCCAAAACCAATAGTCAGGAATTCCATCCAGATCTCCTACATGGGTGACAGGGACTCAAGTACTTGGCCCATGATTCACTGTCTTCTCAGGTATATTAGCAGGGAGCTGGATCAGAAGTGAAATAGCCAGGACTCAAGCCAGCACTCTGTAACATGGGATGCCAGTGCAAGGGTGGCTTGACCACAAAGCTCATCCTTCCCCTTAAATTCTTATACCTTACTCTTTTCTCCACTTGGAGCCCCTACATAAATTTTCCAAATAAAATCATGATCCTTTCCCAAATACCATGACAAATCAGAGGGGAACTTTGGGAGAGCAATGAAAATGCACTACAAGCAGAATGCAGTTGATACATGGAAGTTTGATGGATCAGCAATTAACTGCACATTTTCTACAGGCTTCTTTTCACTTCCTTTTCAGAGTACACTGATTCTAATAGATACAAGTTGATCTATGCTAAAGAAATATCATATTAAGCCTCTTCTAGACTGGCAGCCATTCTCTCTCTCTCTCTCTCTCTCTCTCTCTCTCTCTCTCTCTCTCTAAGTTATATTTAATTATTCAAAATGCAGAGTGACAGAAGGAGGAGGAGAAACATAGAGTGATTGTCCATCCTCTGGTTCACTCTCGAAATACCTGTAACAGGCAGGGCTGTGCCAGACTGAAGCCAGGATCCGGGACTCCATCTAGGTGGAGTGGCAGGGACCCAAGGACTAAATGTGGGATGCCACTGTCTCACGCAGTGGCTTAACTTGCTGAGCCACAATGTCTGCCCCAGCTGGGCTCTCTTATACAGCACTAAGTTACTTGGATAAATGCTTTTATACCATCAGCAGGGAAGACAGACTAATACCCAAAGTGCTGTGTTTGGGCATTTAATTATATACCTTGCCAACTAAAATACAGTCAGTCAGTGTGTGTGAGCCCTAATAAATCAACTGAAACAGTTAACTAGAGAAAGAATACCAGCAACATGGCCTTGTTACCATAAGACAGTAGCATCTGAGAATTTTTAAGTGTCCACTAGCACATATTATTTCATTACTTCACTGCCTGGTTCTGTGGAATTTCTGATTGTGTCATACCTAAAACTTCTTTCTTTTTTTTTTTTTTTTTTTTTTGACAGGCAGAGTGGACAGTGAGAGAGAGAGACAGAGAGAGAAAGGTCTTCCTTTGCCGTTGGTTCACCCTCAAATGGCCGCCGCTGCAGCCGGCGCACCGCGCTGATCCTGGCAGGAGCCAGGAGCCAGGTGCTTTTCCTGGTCTCCCATGGGGTGCAGGGCCCAAGCACCTGGGCCATCCTCCACTGCACTCCCTGGCCATAGCAGAGAGCTGGCCTGGAAGAGGGGCAACCGGGACAGAATCCGGCGCCCCAACCGGGACTAGAACCCGGTGTGCCGGCGCCGCAAGGTGGAGGATTAGCCTATTGAGCCACGGCGCCGGCTACCTAAAACTTCTTTCTAGAATTCTGACTTGAATGAGCTTTGCAATCAGTTTATAACAGGAACCCAGAACGGGCCCTGTCTCCAAGGCTCTGAATATGTGTGTTGGTACAGGCTTTGATCATTTCCAACCTAGCAAAGAGTCTGCCTGTCCTAGCGGAGAGTACCCTTGTCCAGCAATGCTACACATCTAGATTCCAGTGAAAACATCTAACTAAACGTGTGACAAGTTCCTGCTTCTGGGCTTTGGGTTTTGCTAATGTAAAGTGAAAACAAAGCACCAGATCAGCTATCTCAAGTCCCTCTCTGTCCCCAGATTCTCTGACTCAGTTAACAAATCTGTGAATGTCCAAGCTACAGAGGAAACCACACTAAAAGACTTAGTATGGTCTTGTTCTATACAAATGAATCTTTGCCTTACACTTTAACTTTGTTTCCTTTTCAGATGCAACTTAGAAATAATGTTTCACTCAAGATAAGGCTGGTCGTTTGTGAGATTCTGGCTGACTTTGCCTCGTTCTGAGACTTCCATCATCTCTTTTCAAAACCTGAGGAGAACCTCTTTCCTGTGTGATAGTTCCTCGAACCTTGCCAGCCACCGGGTCTGTGAGGAAACTTGCCAGGAGGTTCTGGCTGCCAAGGACAGTGGAGTTCATCGTAGACAAGGTGCTGGCACCACAGCTTTAGTGACTCTCCAGCCTTGTTGCCCACCTCGAAATGTCAAGACCCACACGGTCTTATTGAAAGGCCTGGGTTTTTAGCAAAGTGCAATTGGATCACGTGGCACGATCATCTCAAACTATGTCTCTGACCTTCCCTTACAATGGCGGTTTTGAGCACAAATCAAGAAAGGAAATGATTCTTGAATTATATTTTGTTTTTGTACAAAATTAAGATCAATTAACAAATACTTGCTTTTATGTCCATTCTGTTCTAAGAACTTAATGGTGATTACAAAACAGTAAAAATAGGTCACAGCAAAATGAACACTCAAGATTAGGTTAAAACATTCCTCTGAAATTTCTGTATTCATTTTTGGAATGTCAGTTACCACATTTCTGTAATTTATCATCTTTTTTTTTTTTTTCTGGCTTAGAGTCAAGGTGAGAAATGATATTTAGACCAAAGACATTGTTTTGTTATATAGTCACAGCTTTTCAAAATGCAAATCAACCTTCCCTTCACCAATGCTGGATCACTGGTACACACACACACAGCACCAATATGTTAGAGGAGGATTCTCTTAAAATTTCTAGGACTTGCATCATGTGAGAAGCAGATGAGAAAACTAAAGGAAGTCCAGACAAACAACAGCAATACTTATTTTATTTTACAAAAGTCATTGCATAATACTTTTAAAAGCATGTATTATTATGAGTAAAGCATATTTGTTATATATCTGAACTATGATTCTTGTCTAGTGTCAAGCCACACATAGGAGTCACTTAAAGTGTATTGTTTTTCATTAGATCACTAAAAATCAACTAGTAGGTTCTAGAAAGTGCATAGATTTACCCTGCGGAGAATTTTGATTTGTAAGTGTTTCCATTGTTGTGGAACATTGGGATAAGATGGCATTTGTCATTAACATGGAAGAATATTCTATGGCTTTTCTTTAGTTTTAATGTACATTGCTCTAAAATAAAGAACACACTGTGGCTTTTATCCTCCCAGTGTTCTTTTGTTACATGCAGAATATGTGAGGCTGTTGTTTTAAATGTGGGTACTATTTTTATTGAGCCATTTGGTAAAAGATAAAATATGTAATAATAATAGCCCCTTACTTTTCTCCTAATTGTATTATTCCAAGTCAAACAGAATGGATACCTTTCTTGGGGGAAAAATCTGGAGTGTGTTATTGTAGCAAAAATTATTATTTGTGGTATTTTTCACTGATTCACTAGCTTTTATGATGGATCTTATTTCAAAGCTGATTATTCTCTTGGAAAACCAGAGAGATATTAGAATTTCCAGGTAAATTACATTGTTTAAAGACCATTTTAATGCATTGTTCATATTGTGGTAAGTCATTTCCACCCACCCACCTAAAAAAAAATAAAAAGAAAAAAGAATGTAGTTTCTGCTCCAAATGCCAAATTTTGCAGTTTGAAAGTCCTTGCTGATTCCAATTTTGATTTTAAGATCAGCAGTGGAAATTAATATCAAAGTCACAGACAATTGAGAAGCCTCCTCCCACCCCACACCCCACACTTTTTTTTTTTTTAACTTGAACCGTGATAGGCATCTCTGCAAGGTAGGTTTTAACATATTTTTTCCCTAATTTTTCCCCCTCCATTCAGTAAGAAGGATAAGCTTTTAGAGTACCCAGTCACCGTGGTAACTGCCAAAAAAATTCTCCTGAAGTTTGAAGAGGTCAGCTAGCAGGGTCAACAACTCTGGCCTCTCTCTGAGCTCGGTCTAGCATGCCCCAGCCTGCGGTTGGAGTGTCAGGCCAGATCTGACCCTGGGAGGTGCACTGTTCCAGCTCTGATATAAATTTTTTGAGTCAGTTCATGGCCTGGACTCTCCAGGTGGCCTCCAAAATCGATTGTGACCCTGTGACCCTGTCTCACGGAGGCATAGCATCCACCCTAAGTAAGGATTTAGCCAGGAATGACAGCTTTCCACTGAGTGTTATTGGGGACAGTATAAACAGTTTGGAAAGCAAGGAAGGAGGTGTGAGTACTAGAAATCATTAAGGGCACATTTAAAAACAATTTAAGAAATCTTTGTTTTAAAAAGTTTGAAATGCATATCTGTTACACAACTCCTATGCGATTTGTAGGGTTTTTTTTTTAATCAATTTTTAATAGGAATAATAAGCCACACATATCCTTACCCCTTTAGGTACTTTGTTACAAAGTGTGCAAGTAAGATAGGCAAACTGATAACAAATAGATTCAGCAGAGATGTAATGTGTACAAAGGGAAGCTAGATATTTAAATGCAATAGGTAGGTAAAGAGTTTCTAGGATTTTAAATACAAAATTTTGTGTGCATGTCTTGAAATGTTCAAAATGGGAAAATAAGAAACCTTAAAAAACAAAACAAAAATACGCTGGCAGTTTGGAATAAAAATAAATTTGTTGCATTCCAATTTCTTGCTAGTTTATAAAACAAATAGCCAGTACCCTTATTTAGATCTTAAAGAGCAGAAGAGGAAAATGACAAAAAATGAAGAATGTTTCTGAATAACTATGGATTTTTCACCAGTTTGGAAAATAAAAACGATACACATAAAGCATCAGTGATTATTTTGTTTGCTTTTTTTGTTGTTATTTTCCAGAAAACCACGCTGAATGTTTTATTTTCTCTAAGAAAGAGGGTTCTCTTTGAGAGTTTAGCCTGTGAACTCAGCATGTAAATGTGGCCATCAAGCGAGACGGAACTGCCGAAAGGGAAGATTCCGAATGTTTCTCTTTCTTAAAACCCTGCGCAGCATTCCTTCCTCCACACACGGACTTTCCTCAAAGTTTCCCTTTTTCCAAACTCGGCTGAAAATGCCTTCAGAACGCCGCGCTGCAGTACCTGAACCAGCTGTCGCGTGAAGTCGTTGAGACGCCTTCTCGGAATCCCGTGTAAAAATTAGATTCTAAGTAGGGGTGAATACTCTTCTGTGAGCGGGGACGGGCCAGGAGTGGGGGGCGGGGTGGAGGGGCCTGAGCACTTGACGTCCGGGTGTACCCTTTGTGTTTGAAGGCCTCCCTGTCCTGGCTTCTCACTAAGTTAAATCCCTATTATAAAATTTATCTTCACAAAGCCTATTATAGTATTCTGAGAACAAATTGGACCATGAATAACTTAGTTGGAAGTGTAGATTATTTTCTACTCAGGGAAAGTTAGAGATGACAACAGCTTAACTAAAAGAATGGTGATTAATCTTACATAGATGGATTTCAAAGTTTCGCTCCTACTAAAGGGTCCCTTTGCCAGTTCTCCTCTTCAGACTCGCAATTCCACTTCTTTTTTTGCAGTAAGAATTGTCCTGGTGATTACACGGCCCCCCTAAAACAGCCTGGCTCTGAGTGCAGATGGTTTTCTTCCAGGTTGTTCATGTGTCAAGAGACGTGGCCACTCTATTTCCTATTGGTTAAATCTATGCTTCCAAAGTGGTTTCTGTGTTTCAATACGAAGCTCAAAGACAGGAATGATCTCTTGCAATAATCATAGTTTCTCAATTAGAAAACAATATGGATTACTTCACAACATTTAGTTTAATGCCCTATAGTTTACAAAGCATCGCTCAGTCCATAATGTTCTTTGATCCTTAAAATAATGTAATGAAATAAATATCATCAATCCTGTTGTACCTGTGATGAATCCTGTGATCATGCTAATAAGTGGAAGACCTGGGGTATTAACCCAGATTTTATAGCTTCTATTTCCAGAGATTAACCCATAACAATAAGCTTTTTAATCATTTTTGTGCTCTGTAGTCCTGATCATCAAGATTTTGTATTAAACAGCCAAGTTTTTGGATGGGTATTTAGCTTAGTGGTTAAGGCACTGTTCAGCACGCTTGGATATCATCTCAGAGGGCCTGGGTTCAAATGCAAGCTCACTCTGATTCCAGCTTCCTACTAATGTGCTCGCTGGGAGATGGCAAGTGATGGCTTGAATACGTGGGATCCTACCACCCACTTGGGAGGCTGAGTTGAGCTCTGGGTTCCTGGCTCCAGACCCAGTTGTTGCAGGTATTTGCAGAGTGAAATTGGACAGCAAATCTATGTCTCTCTGCTTTTCAAATAAGTAAAATAAATGCTTTTTTTTAAAGGGCAAAGTTTTTATATCAGACAAAAATGTTAGAAGATACATATTTGAGGGGCTAACATTGTGGCACAGTGGGTTAAGCCTCCACCTGCAATCCCAGCATCCCATGTGGGCACTGATTCAAGCCCTGGCTGCTCCACTTTGGATCCAGCTCCCTGCTAATGTGCTTGGGAAAGCAGCAGAGGATGGCCTAAGTTCTTGGACCCCATGCGGGAGACCCATATGCAGCTGCTAGCTCCTGGCTTCGGTCTGGCCCAGACCTGGCTGTTGCAGGCATTTGAGGAGTGAACTAGAGGGTAGAAAATATCTATCTGTGTGTCCCTCCCTCTGTCTCTCATTCTCTCAATAAATCTTTTTTAAAAGGAAGAAAAATATCTGTTTACTTAAAAGTAAACTTTGCCAATTACTGTTTTCTTTCCCCCATATATATGTATGTATGTGTGCATATATATATATAGCTCACAAACATATATATTCTCAATTTATATATATATATAGCTTACAAGCATACGTGTATTATTAATATATATTTCCGAAACTGAAACATGGACAGGCCTACATAAAAGCAAATAGCTACCTGCAATTTAAATCATGTACACAAAAACCATAGAATTTATGCTTCAAAATAAAATAGCCTTTAGGAGCAAGTTCAACACAGTAATTATTTGAGAGCATTCTGTTGATAAAGCTATCTATTTTTCATACACTAGTATCTTTAAACATCTTAATAAGTCCAGATTTAAAATGTTCTGAAAGATTGGTTTTGTTTTTATTGAACCCTACTCTCCAAGTAAAAAAAAAATGTTTTCAGGGGTGGGTGTTTGGCTCAGCAGTGAAAACACTGCTTGGGATGCCCATATCCCAGCATCCCAAATCAGAGTATCGTATTGGAGTTCATACTTCTGACCCAGCTTGCTGCGAATGTCACTCTGGAAGGCAGCAGGCTATGGCTCAGCACTTGGTTCCCTACCATCCACATGGGAGACCCGGAATGAGTCCCAGACTCTTGGCTACCACTGGCATATGTGCGCATGTGGGCCCGTGAGCAGTAAAGCAGCAGATGGAAGATCTCTCACTCTCTGCCTTTCAAAGAATGACAGAATTTATAAGTGCTTTGAATACTACAAATGAAATACACACAAAAAACTTTTAAGAAATTTTACAAAAAGTTTGCAGAATACTCTAGGAATGATGAACAGAAAGTTTAGTTAACCTGATGTTAATGTAACCTTTATGAACCTAAAGAAATTAAGAAATAAAAGCAACGATTGCGGCTGGCGCCGCGGCTCACTAGGCTAATCCTCCTCCTTGCGGTGCCGGCACACCGGGTTCTAGTCCCGGTCAGGGCGCCGGATTCTGTCCCGGTTGCCCCTCTTCCAGTCCAGCTCTCTGCTGTGGCCCGGGAGTGCAGTGGAGGATGGCCCGAGTACTTGGGCCCTGCACCTGCATGGGAGACCAGGAGAAGCACCTGGCTCCTGCCTTCGGATCAGTGCGATGTGCCGGCTGCAGTGCGCCGGCCGCGGCGGCCACTGGAGGGTGAACCAATGGCAAAAGGAAGACCTTTCTTTCTCTCTCTCTCTCTCTCTCTCTCTCACTGTCCACTCTACTTGTCAAAAAAAAAAAAAAAAAAAGAAATATAAAAGGATGTCATCACTTGGTTCTCCTTATTTTTTTTAAGATTTATTTATTTATTTATTTATTTAACAGGTATTGTTACAGACTGAGAGAGACAGAGAGAAAGGTCTTCCTTCCATTGGTTCACTCCCCAAATGGCTGCAATGGCCAGAGCTGCGCCGATCGGAAGCCGGGAACCAGGAGCTTCTTCCTGGTCTCCCACGTGGGTGCAGGGGTTCAAGCACTTGGGCCATCTTCTACTGCTTTCCCAAGCCATAGCAGAGAGCTGGATCGGAAGAGGAGCAGCTGGGACTCGAACCGGTGCCCATATTGGATGCCGGCACCACAAGCAAAGGATTAACCCAGTGCACCACAGTGCAGGCCCCTCTTCTTGGTTTTTAAACATTTAGTGTGGGCACTGTGGATGCTGTTATGGAAATCCTTGTTATTACTTTTTTTTTTTTTTTTTTTTTTAAGATTTACTTATCTGGGGCTGGGGCTGGTGCTGTGGCGCAATAGGCTAATCCTCCACCTGTGGCACCGGTTCTAGTCCTGGCTGCTTCCCTTCCAATCCAGCTCTCTGCTCTGGCCTGGTAAAGCGGTAAAAGATGGCCCAAGTGCTTGGGCCCCTGCACCCACATAGGAGACAGGGAAGACGCTCCTGGCTCCTGGATTCAGGTTAGCAAAGCTCAGGCTGTTGCAGCCATCTGGGGAGTGAACCAAAGGACAGAAGACCTTTCTCTCTGTCTCTCCCTCTCACTGTCTCTACCTCTCACTAACTCTAACTCTCAAATAAATAAATAAATAAATAACTTTATAAAAAAGATGTATTTATCTGAAAAACAGAGTTACAGAGAGAAAGAGGGAGAGACAGAGAGAAATACTCCATATGCTGGTTCACTCCCCAGATGGCTGCAGTGGCAGAAGCTGGGCCAATCTGAAACCAGGTGTCATGAGCTTCCTCCGGGTCTCCCACATGGGTGCAGTGGCCCAGGCACTTGGGCCATCTTCCACTGCTTTCCAAGGCACATTAGCAGGGAGCTGGATCAGAAAGGGAGCATCCAGGACTTGAACAGGCACCCATATGGGATGATAGTGTCACAGGTGGCAGCTTGACCCACTATGCCACAGCACTAGCTTCTATTTTTTTATTTCTTAAATTATATGCAATTAGTTATATATATATATATATAGCTAATATATATATAACATATATATTCAGTATATATATATATTCAGTATATATCTATGCCTCTCATCTTAAAGGATATGTCTGTTTAGATACTCTGAAAATTTTAAAGTTGCTCATTAGCTTTTAGGTATTTTTGTTTTAAAAATGTAGGGTAGCCTGAGTCAAGGGACTTATATATAGTATATATATATTTTACCAAGCTTGTGTGCTACACACCAAAATGATCACTTAAATTTAAATTTATAACAAGTCAGAGGATCCGCATGTGAAGTATCAAGACTTCTCTGACAACCAAAATTCAATCCTGAGGGATCAACGTTTACCATTACAGGGTGTGGAAATTTCTTTCTTACTATCTTTATGGCTTTTTCCAAGTCATCTAAGCTATTGGTTAGTTTTTGTAGAAAAAAAAAAAAAAAGGAGTACTTTTAGAAATTTGAAAAGAAATTGTGTCAAATTGCTGCACACAATATGTGTGTAAGTACATAAAAGAACCATGCTAGCTAGCATTCAAAAGCTGGAATAAATCAGAGTTCTTCACTTTTCTTATGTCACCTTATGTAGCAAAGACACTGCTCTCCCTCTCTTACCTTTTCTGCCTCGCCTTCCTCCTCCTCCTTTACCTTCCCTCCTTCCTCTTTCCTTACCTCCCTCCTCCTCTCTCTGCCTCCCCTCCCCACCTCTCAACCCTCCCTTCTCCTCCCTCCTTCCCTCAAGACCTTACTCCCTCTCTGCCCCCACTCCTTCCTGAGATTGTTACTAATCTAGATAGTTGAAGAAGCAGCTTTGGCAAAATAGGATTTAAATTGGCAATAATTTTTACTAAAGAACTTCTAAGCATTTCAATAAGACATAAATATGTTCTGTAAGGCCACATTCTAAAAGAAAAAGTGTATATCCATATCTTGAAAAATACAGTGCATACTGAAAAGTTAACTAATAATTATTATTTTTATTATAATTATTATTTTTATAGTGCTTGTTGCCTTTTCTTTTTTTTTTAATTTATTTATTTTAGAGGTAGAGTTACAGACAGAGAAAGAGAGGCAGAGAAAGAGAGGTCTTCCATCTGCTAGTTCACCCCTCAATAGGCCACAACACCTAGAGCTGAGCTGATCAGGAGCCAGGAACCAGTTGCTTCTTCTGGGTCTCCCACGTGGGTGCAGGGGCCCAAGCACTTGGGTCATCTTCTACTGCTTTCCCAGGCCACAGCAGAGATCTGGATCAGAAGAGGAGTAGCCGGGACTAGAACTGGTGCCCACATGGGATGACAGCGCCACAGTCAGAGGCTTAGCCCACTATGCCACAGCACCAGCCCCAGCTAATAATTATTAATCTGTGCTGTATTTTGCTCTATCTCTTTGTATTTTGAATATATCTAATATAGGCATCCTTAACATACAGTGGATAACAATGATTTTATGACTTTATGATAATAAGAAAGTACTCCCAGGAGCTGGTGTTGTGGTGCAGTAGTTAAACAACCACTTTCTATTCAGCTCTCTGCTATGGCCTGGGAAAGCAGTAGAAGATGGCTCCAGTTTTTGGGCCCCTGCACTCACATGGGAGACTTGGAAGAAGCTCCTGGCTCCTGGCTTCGGATGGGAGTAGCTATGGCTGTTGTGGCAAATTGGGGAGTGAACCAGTGGATCAAAGACTTCTTTCTGCATCTCCATCTCTCTCTGTGTAACTCTGCCTTTCAAATAAATAAACCTTTTAAAAATTAATAAAATAAAAGAA